GCCCCATGCCATTGGCCAGTACAGCATGTGACCCTGTGCTTGTGGCAGATAGTAGTTTGGCGCATGTCTTTCCGCCACCGAGGATTGCAGGGCATTTCTCTTTGCCTCCTGTTGCCTCCTCCTCCTACTCCGCTTCCTCCTCCTCTACCACCTCCTCATCCAGTCAGCATAACACCTTCACCACCAACTTCAACACAGGAAGGTGGAAACGGCAGCAGGCTGTTTTAAAACTGATATGTTTGGGAGAAAAAACCCACACCGCTCAGGAGCTGTGGATAGGCATGGAACAACAGACCGATGAGTGGTTGTTGCCACTGAGCCTCAAGCACGGCCTGGCTTGGGCCTAGCCGGTTTGACGCACATCCATATCTTGTCTGTCTGTGCTGCAGCGTAACTTCAGCCTTCCCGCTCACCGCCTCATATGCAACGTGCCCACAAGGTGGAACTCCACCTTGCACATGCTGGAGAGACTGTGTGAGCAGCAGCAGCCGACAGTGGAGTTTCAGCTGCAGCACGCACGGGTCAGTCACTCAGCACCACTTCACCACCAATGAGTGGGCCTCCATGGGAGACCTGTGTGCCATTTGGTACTGTTTTGAGTACTCCACCAACATGGCCAGTGCCGATGATGCCGTTCTCAGCCTTACTATCCTGCTTCTATGTCTCCTTGAATTAACCGTTTCAGGCGATGTTGGAAGAGGATGTGGCACAGGAGGAAAAGGAGGTGGAAGAGGGGTCATTTCCACTGTTATCAGGCCAGTCATTCACAAGTGGCTCAGAGGGTGGGTTCCTGCACCAGCATAGGCCAGGTACACAATTATCCAGCTAGGGCACAGTTCTGGAGGATGAGGAGGCTGACAGTGTTCACAGCATGGTGGCACTCAAAGCAGCTCATGGGCATCACTGGTACGTGGCTGTGGGGATACGGAGGACACAGAAGATACACCTCCCACAGAGGACAGCTTGTCCTTGCCTCTGGGCAGCCTGGCACACATGAGCGACTACATGCTGCAGTGCCTGCGTAACGACTGCCGAGTTGCCCACATTTTGACTTGTGCTGATTACTGGGTAGCCACCCTGCTGGATCCCCATTACAAGGACAATGTGCCGTCCTTAATTCCCTCACTGAAGCGTGATCGAAAGATGCGCTATTACAAGCGCACACTGGTAAACGCGCTGCTGAGCGCATTTCCAACTGACACTGGGGGCACAGTGGAAGCACAAGGCGAAGGCAGAGAAGGAGATAGAGGTTGCCAACGCACCTGGGGCACCGCCAGAACCCATGTTGCCACAACAACTAGCACCACCAGCTGATATGGAACGTCTTAGCAGGAGGCAGCATTTCAGCAACATGGTGGAACAGTACATGTGAACAGGCCTACACTTACTGACTGATGGGTCTGCCCCATTCTACTTATGGTTCTCCAAATTGGGCACATGGCCTTAGCTTGCCATTTATGCCTTGGAGGTGCTGGCCTGCCCTGCAGCCCGTGTATTGTCTGAACGTGTGTTTAGCACGGCAGGGGGCATTATCACAGACAAGCGCAGCCGTCTGTCCACAGCCAAAATGGACAAGCTCACGTTTCTTAAAATGAACCAGGCATGGATCCCACCAGACTTGGTCTTGTGCAGAATAGACATTTATACTGGCCTCACCCAGCCATTGTTATACTCAAGTGCACATATTCTTTGTTTCCTTTTTTACATGTCCCAATATTTGGGGGCAACCCCAATTGAAAAAAAATGGAAAAAAAAATAGTGTAGGCTACCTCCTCCTCCACCGCCGCTTCCACCTACACCGCCACGGTCACCACCTCCTCAACCTCCTATTCCACATTCACCTCCTCCTCCTAGTTCAAGATTATAATTTTTAAACAATAAACATGAGTTGTCTGTGTCATCCTTTATAATCAGATATTTACATGATTTTCCTGTCTCCTTGAAATGACACTCATGAAAGAGGTTTGATCTTCTTTCATTTACACCACGATACACTTTGTATAAAACATACAGTAAATAAATCAACAGAATGCAAGAACTTGCTGCCCATCTCCGAGGGTTTGTACATCAATTTTGCATTCAGACGTATAAAGCATATAATTACATTAAAGTTATGATCCTTCTATTGAGAGTCTTCCTATGGGTCACTTAGTATAAACTATGTACACAATAGCAGAGGCTATGTGAAGGCCTTTTCTCCATGCATCAGGAGTTGAGCTAAGTTTGAAAAATGAAAGAGAATACCCTGCACTCCAACGCTCTCTCAAATGGATAATTCTGGTAATCCTCCTGACAGCCATGCTTTAGATTTAGATTTATGTTCTTCCAAAGCTAAAATCATAGATTCCATCAAGTGCTATTTTATGGCTCAGCTGTATTTTTAATTTGTATGTATTTTATGTTATTTTAAGTGATTTCCCTATCCACATTTGTTTGCAGGGCATTTGTCCTACTCTTACCCCCATTTTTACTTCGTTTTGCAGCCCTCTAGCCCTTTCCAGGACTTTTTTTAGAGCCATTTTTGTGCCCAAAGTTCGGGTCCCCATTGACTTCAATGAGGTTCACGTTTGGGGTCAAGTTCGAGTCCGAACTCGTACTTTTTGCCGAAGTTCGCCCGAACCTGGCGAACCCGAACATCCAGGTGTCCACTCAACTCTAGTAAATACCCATATTTTATTCCTCCTGGTTCCTATGTTTCGGCACTTCCATAGAACCGAACGCTATCTCCCTGGCGTCGTTCGCATGGACCGCGAATAGACTTCAGGGTACTTAGCAGTGAGTGCCCTGGAACTATTTTTGGCCTGAAGACTTTGCAGTTCCCGGTCGGTCCTCCAGCGACACTTAACCGCGATTCTATGGAACTATTTCCGGCTATGGGACCATGCGTGCGGTCGATTAAATAAATGACTTCCAGGAAATTGCTTAACTGATCTGGGTGATTTTTGGATATGTTGGTCCCCAGATCAGGGGGCTTTATGTGTTTTTGGGCTACTTTTAGGGTGTTTGAGAAAAAGTGTGTTTTTCTGTACTTGGAGATAATTTGATTAGTACAGTTCCTGATTCAATTATCTCCCAGGCAGAGGGGAGGGATTGTATACTATGTATGGGAGTGTCATGTATTATAACTCTGTTGTCATTGGTCTGTAACTTTGTACTGTAGTCTTCCATCAGGTCCAGATGGGAGTACCCCTTGCATGGGGATTGCCAGAAAATTCCAGCTGTGGCACCATTAAAATCAGATCACTTCACCCACTTGTCTCGTGATTGTAGGTAATGGCTTTACCTGCTTTGGATTGCTATACTGGCTATAATCACTAGCTCTTGCAAGATACCTATATCTGCTAGACTCTCTGGAGTAGGAGAGGTCCACCCACTGGAAGCTGGAGCCTTGTCTTAGGTCCAGGGTGGGTGGAAGACGGCGAGATTCTAGACAAGCTGCGTGGGCTAAGGGTCTGCGTTGCTGATGGTGTCTGGTGGAGTGCTTGGAAGTTGCTCCCGAACAACAGAGACATCCAGCGACGGAGCGGGGATTCGTGCAGACTTCTAGCCCGTTCCTGTTCACAAATTTGAGAGTGAAGTCCCGCGGCCTATTAGTCTACCTCAAAACATGGCCACCATCACACACTCAGAACCCAAAGACATGAACAGACTTTGTTTCGAGGAAATACAGCGTACCATTTGTGGGTTCTGAGCGCTCTTCGGTTAACTGTTTCGCCTCAACCGGGGCTATGTAATGAATGGTGGAAGACACAAATTATGTATAAAACTGTTTGAATTATGTATTTTTATTCTGTTTTCTATGTGGCAAAAACACGTGGGGTTATGGGCGCTTGGAGATAATTGTATTGTAATAACCATTAGATTCATTATCTCCAAGGTGGGTTGTGCCGATTTCAAACGATGCATTGCATTTCTATTGGTCCCCCACTTGTATTGTCCCTGTATCCCATCAGGTCCAGAGGGGGCTGTCCCTGGGCCTGAGATTTTGCATAAATACGGTCCCCTTGTGTCATTAAAGCCAGTTCTTGCTTGACCTTCAAATCGCAGCCTCGACTCGTTTTGTGGGGAAAAGGGTATCCTAGCTGCATGAAAGCTAGTGGCTTTGTTCTACATTTACAGGATTCGTATGGAATAACTACCAAATCGACTCTCCTCCTTCTCTGCCTTTGGGATCCAGACCATCCAAGCAGTCCAGCTTCCAGCTATAGAACCCTTATATAGAACTAGTACAGCAGCTGATGGCAGAGGTAGATGAGGACATACAGAAAGCTAGAGCCCACGAGCTCAGCCTGATGACCGCACACCACAACGCTGATGCAACCTCAACCGTAAGTCCTGCAGAGAACCCCGGGAGGCCAAAGATACCCTATGCGGCTTTTAGACCCTTCCTGGAGTACGAGACAGGGATTGATTAATATTTGGCGGACTTTGAATGACAATGTGCACTACATCAGATTCCCGACAAAGAGTGGCCCACGATATTGTCAGGAAAACTATCCGGGCGAGCACTAGAGGCATTCCGGACCTTGAGTGCGGAGGAGGTGACGCAGTACACTCTAGTCAAGGACACACTCCTGCGACGGTATGCGTTAACTCAGGACACGTATCGACGACTGAAAGGTAAGTTCTATCCTAAGTGACTCGGTCCAACTTAGGCGTTCTCTGGTCTCCGTTGTTGGCTGAATTCAGGGAAGAACGATGGAGCAAAATGAAACACGCACACAGTTTGCTTTTCCAAAGATCTTCAAGTGTATTATAAAAAGGATGGCATATTTATACAGTATTGATCATGAACTTTGACATACATTGGTCAAAATATGCTTACAAAAGATAAACGTTGCTAAAAGCGGAAATAGCTGATTTTTGCAGAAGACCACATTTCTTGTGGTCAAGCATGTCTTATTTTCCATGATACTTTTTTCGGAAGTATCAGGTCAACGTTACTTTGCGGATGCGTCTGTTGTTTCAAAAGCAGAAGCGATAAATCAAAAATAACCTGTGGTTTGTCTAGTTTTTAGCTCTTGTGTAAATCTTAAGAATAAAATATCAGAAATTATAGATGAGATCTATTAACCCATTCCCTTCATTCCCCTCTTTGAGCAAGACCTTGCTCATACCCCATTTGGGTTGTTTTAGCCAGGGTAACTGTTCATGGTATATTCAGAATTGCTAGCCAATTCTGCAGGACTTTCATTATTTCTTCGGCCACTATTCCCATGGCATATACCCTGGCTAATCATAGATATTCTGGGGTTCGGGAATATAACTATCATGCATATAGAATTGTAAGAATTCCGCATACACTGGTGGTGGAGGTAGTGGACGTGATGGGGGTGTGTTTTTGTAGATGCAGAATATCACTCTTATAAGTACATAAAAGAAGAGAGAAATAGAAGCCCCCATAACCAAGATCAGACCTATGGTTTTTACTGAATTAATGATAGAAGAGAAATTAAACCAGTCACCCCAGTAATTATCTACCCCAGAGTTACTCTTTATCTCCTTTGCCAAATCTTCTAATTTCTGTATTGCTAATGTTACCTTTCCGTTGGGGCCAGTGTTCTGAGGGATATAGGTGCAACATACTCCTGAGGCGATGTATTTACAAACCCCCCCTTTCTCAGCTAGCATTATATCTAGGGCCATTCTATTTTGAAAGGTCATTTGGGAGGTAGCTTGTAATTGTTCAGCAAGGCCTTGTAGGGCATCTTTAGTATAATTAATGAACCTTTGCTGATTATAATATATGTAATTAATCCAATCAACATTTTTATTGGCAGTAATCATAGGGAATATGGATTCAAATCCAGCTGCAACTTCATCTCTTGCCTTGAATTCTTTAGGGACTCCCCGTGGGATACCTATAGAGTCTAAGTAAATGTGGGGATCAAGGCTACCAGTGGGCACTTCCCTCTTCCTTCGGTTGGAGACCGGTATTGCTTTAGAGACAGACAGAGAATCACTAAAGATGTGTAGGGGCATGATAATTTTAGCTGGGGTGCATTCGCCTCTCCATGGAGTGGGGAGCCTATACCTAATCTTCATATCCCCACAGATCCAGTATACATCTCCAACCGATAGAGTCTGGTTTAGTAGGGTAATGTTACTATAAAAGGGACAAAAGCCATCAGAAAAGTTACCAAATTGTTTTCCTTTGTTGTTAGTGTTGTTACCCCTAAAACATGTCTAATTACCAGGATAAATGGAGACGGCATCATGTAATTTAAATTTAGGCTCACCTAAAGGATGCATTACCTTCCAGGTGTCACAACCGTCTGTAGAATCATTTGTACCAGTGAATAGACTAAGGAAACAGTTCCAGTATCTGTCAGGGACAGTGAGTGGGACGGTCCCTAGATGAGGCCTGGAACTGCCACACACATAGCAGTTAGACCTATTATTGGAATGAGCATTATATCTCATCCATTCTAGCCAGAGATTAATGTCGGTGTATCCAGTTTCTAGGGCAACAGTATCCTCAAATGTCGCGTCTGCTATTGCCATCATATCTCCAAGGGTTTGTACACGTGGTTTAAGGGGGTTAACAGGTGTCTGTTGTGAAGTATGACTCTCCCATTCTGTTGAGTTCCACATATCCTTAAACTGGAACTTTCCTTTAGTGGCAGGGGATGCTACACCTATATAGCTAGACAATATGTATAAGCCCTCATCATTTTTATTGGGATTTTCTAGGTTTAGTGTCAAGGGCATTCGTTTACCTAATTTCTTTCTGTAACAAGAATATATGTTTGACCTAGGATCAGTTCTAGTAATGGTCAAACGGTCCTTAAGTGGTCTACCTGACTTGTCTCTCCTGTACATAGTACTTATTGGTCTATATTCCCAATCTGTACCAGTGTTCCAGGCTACCGAGCCCCAATAATCACAATTGTTTCCTCAGTAGCTATCAGTGATGCAAATATATTGTTGACGTGGTGGAGTGTATAGATAACATTCATTACTACGTTCCTTATGACTACAGGGTACTATATTACAGTAATCAAATGTGAATGTTGCTACTGATGTACTGGATGAATTGAACCAAAACTGAAAAATGTCATCTGCTCCCTTAATGATGGCTACCTGAGGTTTGTTATCAGAAGAGAGACTATGCAGCTTACGTTTGAGTAGATGGTTAGATGAATTGTAAGGAAGGTTAGTAGGGTAGGTACCATTGGCAACCCCTGTCGGAAAAACAGCCTGTGTGTGTGTACAGAAAGGCAGTATAGGATTATCAAAGTGATATAAACAGTCACTAATCAAATAGGTCGGGAGCGTAACACATAAGAAACATATCAGTAGCAGGAGCATAAATCTGGCATCGCTGGTCAGGAGTGGCATCATTCCTGCCTTTGTCTTTATCTTTGTCTTTGTCTTTGCCTTGGTCTTTGCCTTGGTCTTTGCCTTGGTCTTTGTCTTTGCCTTTCACTCGGGAAGCATGAATCCAGAGGTCCTGGGAATCTGTGAGGACAGCCGTCCGTGTCACAGCGATAACGGTGGTTGATGGGCCAAAAGGATATCCACCCTTCTTTTTACGGTTTAGTTGTCGAATGTATACGGTATCTCCAGGCTTGAAAGAATGTGTAGGTTCCTGTGAAGGCAAAGGAAACTGCGAAGAGACATTGCCATATATACCATTCAATTTTATCAATAATTCATGCACATATTGTTCTTGTATTAAGTGTAAATCACCAGGCATAATTATTAAAGGTTCCCTGGCCCAGGGAGTGGGAAATGGGCGTCCCATAAGAACTTCAAATGGAGATAATTTAGTCACTTTATGGGGAGTCATTCTAATCTCAGCCAAAATGGCTGGAAGATATTTTGTCCAATTTACCCAAGTGCCTGCAGTGGCCTTCATCAATTTGTCTTTTATAGTTCTGTTCATTCGCTCTACAACCCCTGAACTCTGTGGGTGATAGTGAATGTGAAATTTCCAAGTTATCTGTAGCCACTTAGCTAGTTCCTGTGTTATTTTGCTTGCAAACGCAGGACCATTATCTGAATTGATTTGTAATGGGCACCCATATCTTGGGATAATATCTGTGGTTAAGATTTTCACCACAGTCTTAGCATCTTCTCTATTAGTTAAAAATGCTTCTGGCCAACGACTAAATTGGTCCACAATGACCAACAAATACTGTTGCCTATTTCCTGTCTTTGGAACATGTGTGAAATCAATCTGCAGATGTGTAAAAGGTGCAGTAGGAGGAGGAAGGTGCTCATGTTGTGGTTTGTTAGGAATATTGGGATTGGTTCTCATGCATGGTTCACAGGACTGTATGAACTGTTGTACCTGGGTACGGAGATTGTTGATATAAAATGCATCTTGGACAGTTTTAAAAGTATTATGCATACTCTTGTGTCCGGGACCATGGGCCTGGCTGATAAAAACAGCTGAACTTGCCTCTGGAATTCCCACTTTCCCCTCTTGGAGTAAAGATCAAACTGATCTTTAATCAAACCTTTCCTGGACCAGTATTCGAGATCAGAATGGGAAGCAAAAGACTGTAACTGGGAAAGAAGAGTTTGATTTGGACAAGTAGGTGGTAATAAAGGAAAATAGTCAAAGGGCTCTACAGGAACTATTGATTGAAGTGCAGCTTCTTTAGCAATACTATCTGCAAAGGCGTTACCTTGGGATACTACATCTTTGCCCTGTGTATGTGCTTTGCAATGTATAATTGCTATCTGTAGAGGCAGTTGGATGGCTGTGAGAAGTTCAGTGATGAGTTTGTTATGTGCAATTTGTCTACCATCTGCTCCTATAAATCCCCTTCTTTGCCATATAACTCCAAAATCGTGAACCACCCCATGAGCATAACGAGAATCAGTGTAGATGTTAACTTTGTGATCTTTAAAAAGGTGACATGCACGTGTGAGAGCTATCAGTTCAGCAGCTTGAGCTGAAGCCACTGGGGGAGAACCTGATTCTACAATGATATTAGGTAATTGAACTACAGCATAACCTGTGAGGTATAAGCCATCAGAGGGTCTGGAACAGGACCCATCAACAAAAACAGAGATAGCATCAGAATCAGGAAGAGGGGTAGATAGTAAGTCAAGGCGGGGTGAGGTCTGCAGATGAATTGTAGAAAGACAGTCATGTTCTAGAGGGGGAATTGAGTTTGGAGAGGAAGAAGACAAGGAGGAAAGAATAGCATGTAAAATAGCCATTGGACCTGATCCTTGTGGTGTATACTCTATGGTAAGATTCTGTGAGTTGAGGAGTATAATTTCATAACCACTAAGACGTTGTGCTGTCATGTGTTGGGTTGTCAGATGTTTGACTAGGTGTTGGACTTGATGTGATGTGTGTAGGATTGTAGTGTGGCCCAGAGTGATAGTAGCAGCAGTTTCAACAGCCATGGCACATGCCGCCAATGCCCTGAGACAAGCCGGCATTCCTTGCACGGTGACAGGCATGACTTTAGAAAAAAATGCTATGGGGCGTAAACCACCTCCATGCTCTTGAGCACACACAGCAGCCATAGTTTTACAATTGTCCTTAGCATACACATGAAATGGTTTGGTATACACAGGGAGACCTAAAGCCGGAGCTTGAACAATTGACACTTTCAAGACTAAAAAGGCATTTTTCATGTCTGAGGACCAACAAACAATGTCAGGGCTATCTGAGGAGGTGGATTTTCTGAGCATTGAGTCATAATGAGAACATTCAGGAATCCATTGACGGCAGTAATTAATTATGCCAAGGAAGGTGAGCAACTCCTTCTTTGTGACTGGCATAGGGATTCTTTGAATTGTCTCTATTCTCTTAGGACTCAATTGTCTGGTTCCTGCTGCCAGAACAAATCCCAAATAAACAACTTGAGGCAAACATAACTGCATTTTATGTTTTGCAACCTTGTGACCTTCAGTTGCCAGATGCTTGAGCAGACTGATAGAGTCACTGACACATGCCACATGGCTTGGACTACATATCAACAAGTCATCAACATATTGTAACAGGACGGAACCATGACTGGGGTGCCATGCCTTGAGAGTATGCTGGAGTACCAGAGAATAAACAGCTGGTGAATCCACATAGCCTTGAGGAAGTCTTGTCCATGTCAGTTGGCGTCCTTCAAAGGTGAAGGCTAGCAACAACTGAGTCTCAGGGTGCACAGGTATAGAGAAAAATGCATTGCTGAGGTCTATAACTGTGAAACATGTGGCGTCATGTGGAATGGCAGTGATGAGGGAGACCACATCTGGGACAATGGGGGCTATGGGAATTATTAGGGAATTTAGGGCTCTGAAGTCTTGTACAAAACGGTATCCTTCACCTTTGGGGACAGGATTAATGGGGGTGTTGTAAGGTGAAACAGTTGCAGTAAGGATACCTTGTGTGAGAAAGGACTCTATCATTGGGCGGACAGCATGTACCTTCTGGTCAGACAAAGGGTACTGTTTGAGGTAGATTGGATTGGAAAACCTAAGTTTAGCCCTATATGGAGTGCAGTTAACAAAACCTACGTCTAACTTGGAAGAGGCCCAGACAGTGGAGGGAATAGATGACAGATCTATCTGTTCTTCCTGTTGTGCTAACATGGTAAGGTCTAAGCCCCCTGGAGGTGTGCATAATATTTTGGCACCCAGGATACCCAAAAGATCCCTCCCCAAAAGGCTTACAGGACAGTTAGGAATTAGGCGGAAGGAGTGGAGGGTTTGGGAAGAGTTAAGAGGACAGTAAACAGAAAGCAGGGGAGTACAGAATGTTGGAACAGACACTCCATTAATTCCCACAGAAGGCTCTGCTTTTGACCTAGGTCCTTCATAGTAGGCAGTGCATATACTGGAGCAAGTTGCTCCAGTATCCACAAGGAAAGGAATTGGGTTACCTTCAATATGTAATACATAGAAAGGTTGAGCCATACTATTACTGGACAGTTGGAGAAAAACAGGAGTGTCTCCTTCCGGGCATCCCTATTGTGGCCAAGGAATGTGATGGGCATGTTGGGGTTGGGTCTGAGGAGGAGGAGGAGGAGGAGGAAATGTCATTGGAGCAGAGGCTGAGGTAGTAGGTTGTTTAGTTTGATTCTGGGACATATTCGGACTGGGTAGAATTTTAGGGGGAAAAGGGCAGGCACTACGCCAATGACCCTGTTGGCCACAGTTAAAGCAAGTATTGCGGTCAGGATACTGTTGTTGGTGCTGATACCTTCCCCTCTGAGGACGCCCCCCTCTCTGAAAACCACCTCTGGGTCTAGCCCTATGTGTCCCATCCCATCCTCGGGGTCTAGAGTTGAAAGGTTGAGCATGTGCTAACCCTTGAACTACAAAGGCACTTGGTTTAGTGGACTGGGGTGGGAGTGTGAAACATCCTGCATTGTCTTTTTCTTGGATTTTTACAAGAAAATCCTTACTATTAAGGGATGGCCATTCAGAAATCAACTGTTTAACCAGGAGACCAGTAGTGGGTATCATGTTCCCTATACATGTCTGTAATTTCAATTCATCCATCTCTGTAGTTGATGTCAAACCTGCTTCTTCTTTCCAACACTTAAAGAATCTTCTTACATACATTACAACATCTTCCCCTTTTGTCTGTTTACATGACAAGGCAGTAGACATAGAAGAACTATCTCTATACAGTCTTGTTAATTCTGTCCCGATTTGATCCCACATTTCATTAATCCCTTCTGCTGTGGCTAACCCGTAAGGTTCCTCTTTCCTATCAGCTGGGGTAGTTGTATTAAAATCTGGGTTATTAATGGAAGGGATACGAGACCAGTCCCACCCGGATTCTGAGTCATATCCCAGAATACCATCTATGATTAATTTCATATCAATCTGGGTCATATTTTGACCTTGACAACTTCTCTTTAAATACAAGAGACATGCAGAGGGGTTCTTTCTGGGATTTGGGGCACCCTTGACAATATCTCTAAGTACATTAGGGGCCAAGGGTTTTATGATAAGTTGGGAGCCAATGGTCATAAAAGGAAATGTACCTTGATCATTTACTGACATACCTGCAAACTGAGAGGATTGGGCTCTGTCTTCCTGATCTGATTTAGCTCTTGACCTAGTCATTATTTGCTTGGCTGCCTTATTTGGGTCTTGTAATATAACCTTGTCAGCTCCCTTGTGTTTTTCCTGTGCTGTGGTATATTCTACAGAAAGGCAACCAGTGTCACCCTTACTTCTCTTTCCCTGTTCTTCTCTTTCCTGTTCACCTCTGTCATACCCCTCAGGTAATGTTTCGGTCTGTAAGCCTTCTCTGGCCATACTGGCAAATATTACTTCATCATCATCATCATAGATGTTGATAGGTTCTTTGAGACCTTTAAGGGATGGATATGTGCCAGTAGAGGCAGGAATGGCGGAAGCATAGGGAGGTGGAGGTGCACTGGGAACCTGATTTGCTGTCAGTGATGTAATAGGTGTACCTGTGCCTATACTTGAAGCTTCTATCTTTTTCTTTCCCTTTAAAATTTTACCATTAGGGTCAGTAGGATACCAATGTGGGGCTACCCGAAGCCAATTTAATCCACCCTGCTCCATATATTCTTTATCCCAATCCGGGTCTGGGCCATACCATGGCCATGCCTTTTTATCACCGAGACATAATCCTTTGATCATGTTCATGTGATATTCATCATTAGCTCCTAATCTAGGGAATGGATTGGCGGATTCCATAGCCTCGGTCCAACCTGCAAGGTTGGCCACAAATGGTATGGTATAGAAGCCACCAGTAGGACTAACTTTGGACACATATTTAATACATGACTCCCCAGGGTGTGGTGGAGGGTAGCAAATGGACTGGTTATTTCCCATTCTAGGACCAAGGTTGTAGGACAGATATCTACTCACAAAATCTCTGTCCTAAACACTTATTCACAACCCACTTAAGCAAAAGGATGACAACTAGGGACCAGAGAAGGTAAGTTTCAAATACTTGTATATACTTTGTCTCTAACTTTAGTATATTCACTTATATACTA